AACATGTACCCCCACCAAACTCTTCCCGTACCCTTGGGGGTACACGTACCACACTTTGGGAAACACTGCCGTAGAGTATAACATTCACAGTATGGTTGTCATATATGGCCTTTATCATGTTGAGTTATGCTCCCTCAATTCACATTTTGGAAAAAATGGCTGTTGGATTTTATTGAATACTTTTTCTGCATCTATTTATATAATCGTAAGATTTTTGCCTTTCAATTTGTTTATGTGATATATCACATTTATTGATTGTGAATATTTTTACCAGTCTTGCTTCCTGGAATAAATCCAACTTGGTCATGGTGTATGATAATTAGAATATATTGCTGGATTCTATTTGCTAATATTTTGTTGAGGATTTTAGCATTTATGTTCATGAAGGATATTGACCTGTAAATTTCTTTGTAGTCTATAACTGGTTTTGGAATTAGGTTAATGCTGGCCACATAAGAAGTACTTAGAAGTGTTCCTTCCTCCTTGATTTTTTTGAATAGTTTCAGTATAGATGTTAGTTCTTCTTTGAATGTTTGTTTAAACTCCCCTGGGAGCCGAAACTGGTTTGGCTCAGTGGATAGAGCGTCAATCTGTGGACTGAAAGGTCCCAGGTTCGATTCTGGTCAAGGGCATGTACATTGGTTGTGGGCACATCCCCAGCAGGGGGTGTGCAAGAGGTAGCTGGTCAATGTTTCTCTCTCATGGATGTTTCTAGCTCTCTATCCCTCTCCCTCCCTCTCTGTAAAAAAAAAAAAAAAAAACAATAATATATATATATATATATATATATATATATATATATTAAAAACAAAACAAACTAAAATAATCTCCCCTGGGAAGCCATCACTTCTGATTTTTTTGTGGTCCTCTTTGTTTTTTGATGAAACTAGCTCTTGGTTTCATGTTTTTAAAAAGTCTCCATGTTATTTATTTCTCTTCTAATATTTATATTATTATTATTTTTTAATGTCCTTTCTACTTACTCTTATTTTGTCTTGTTCTCTTTCTAATAGTTTATGTTGCAGGGTTACATAGTTTATTAGTAATTATTCTTATTTTCTTGAGATAGGCCTGTAGTGCTATTTTCCGTGTCCCAGAGATTTTGAGTTGTTGTGTATTCATTTTAATTTGTTTCCAGGAAGTTTTGTATTTCATTGGTAACCTAGTTTTGTATTTCATTGGTAGCTTATTAACATGCTATTTAACCTCCATGTGTTTGAATGTTGTTTTTACTGTAGTTTACTTTTAATTTAATTCCACTGTGGTCTGAGAAGATGCTTGATATGATTTCAATCTTCTTAAACTTGCAGTGGCCCGTTTTGTGTCCTAACATGTGGTCTATCTTTGTGAATGACCCATGTGCTTGAGAAGAATGTATATTCTGTAGCTTTGAGATGAAATGTTCTATAAATGTCAATTAAATCTAATTGATTGTGTGTCCTTTAGAATCACTGTTTCCTAGTTAATTTTTTGTAAGATCTATTCAGTGAAATCAGTGGACTGACTGTATTGTTGACAATCTCTCCCTAAGGTCCTCCAGAAGTTTATTTATTTATTTATTTATTTATTAAATACATTTTATTGATTTTGTACAGAGAGGAAGGGAGAGAGATAGTTAGAAACATTGATGAGAGAGAGTCATCAATCAGCTGCCTCTTGCACACCCCCTACTGGGGATTATGCCCGCAACCAAGGTACATGCCCTGGACCGGAATCGAACCCGGGACCTTTCAGTCCCCAAGCCGACGCTCTATCCATTGAGCCAAACCGGTCTCGGCTCCAGAAGTTTTTTTTAGGTTTGTGTGCTCCTATATTGGGTGCATATATGTTTACTAGAGTTATATCTTCCTGTTGGTTTGATCACTTTAGTATTTAGTATTACGTAATGATTTTTGTTGTCTCTTGTGATGGCCTTCATTTTGAAGTCTATTTTGTCAGGTATGAGTACTGCTACCCCAACTTTTTTTCATTTCTATCTATTTGCATGGAAAATTTTTTCCATCCCTTTACTCTCATGTTGTGTGATTTCTTTGTTTTGAGGTGAGTCTCTTTTAGACATCATATATTTGTGTCATGTTTTATCCATCCAACTTCCCTATGTCTTTTGACTGAGTACTTAATCCATTTATATTTAAGACTAGATGCCCCTTGGAGGAAGATTCCTGCAATAGGGTTTCCTGCTGCAGTTGCTGCACCACCTGCTTTCCTTTCTCCCTATCCTGCCTGCTTCCCTTCCTTCTCCCCAGCCCCAATTGCTTGCTTCTCCACAGTGCTTGGCTTCTTTCTATGCGTCTTCAGTCTTCACTCTTGCCTGGACATGCAAATTAAGTGCCATCTTGGTTGGGTTAATTTGTATACTCGCCCCGATCGGCTTGTGGACGTAGTGAAGGTGCAGTCAATTTGCATGTTTTTCTTTTATTAGGTAGGATTATCATCGACTTGAGGCTCAGTGCAGGAAGTTTATGCATGGGTCAGATCCTTAATGGCTGCTGGCAGGGCCTCCCTTCTCCTAACTGCCTGCCACCATTGCTGGCCGCAGTGGGCCAGCCAGGGGAGGAGCCATGGGCAGTTGGCTGGATGTTCCCACTCCCTGGTCAAATGAATAAATTGCATATTAGGCTTTTATTATATAGGACAGGTCCTCATTTATTGCAATTTTACTTTTATGTGCCTGTCTATTTATTATTATTATTATTATTATTATTATTATTATTGCAGTACCGTTAGCATTTCTTATAGTGCCGATTTGATGGTGACAAATTCCTTTAGCCTTTATTGCCAAGGAAGATCTTTATTTTACCATCTATTTCTACTGATAGCCTTGCTGGATATAGTAATTTTGATTTCAGATCCTTGCTTTTTATTACTTTGAGTATTTCATGACATTCCCTTCTGGATTGTAGAGTTTCTGATGAGAAATCAGCTAACACCCTTATGGGAGCTCCTTTGTAAGTAACAAATTGCTTTTCTCTTGCTGACTAAGATTCTCTGTCGTTAATTTTTGGCATTTTAATTATGATGTGTCTGGGCATGGGCCTGTTTGGATTCTTATAGCTTGGGACTCTTTTTCTGCCTCTTAACATGTAACTTGTGTGCATTTTCCTTCAACAGGTTAGGAAGTTTTCTGCCATTATTTCTTCAAACTCCTCCTATGTCCCTTTCTCACTTTCTTCCCCTTCTTGCTCACTTATGCAAATATTGTTATGTTTCGTGTTGTCCCACAGCTCCCTTAAACTAGCCTCCTGTTTTTTTTCTCTTTCAGTTTTCTGATTGTGTTATTTTTTCTACCCTACCTTCTAATTCACTGATCTTCCCCGAATCTGCCGTGTATTCCTTCCATTTCCATTGTGTCTTTATTAGTGCTATGTCATTCTTCATAGTTACTATATCTTTTCTTATGATCTTGAGAATCATTGCCATCATTATTATAAACTCTCTGATAAATTTCTTATTTCTATTTCATTTAGCCTTTCTTCTGGACAATTCCCTTGTTCTTTGATTTGGGGGTGGTGTTTTATCTCCCCATTTTGGCTGCCTATTTGGGTTTGTGACTATGTATTAGCTATATCTGCTAACTCCCAATCTCTAGTGTAGGAGAGTATCAAATGCTATTTCTCTCTCATTAGCTCAGGCCAAGACTTAAAGCCTCCAGAGGCCAGCCTCTGCCTGCAGACTGATTGGATTCAGTCTGAATAGCCTCAAGCTATCATCCACAGGCTAGGGAGAGGTTTTCCAACTGGGTGAGGTAATTGCTTCTGCCTGGAGTCTAACTGTTATTCTCAGTGTCTTAATGGGCCTCAGAAACTACAGAGGATGTGGCAAGGGATTTCCCAATGGGGTGGGTCAAGTGTCTTCCCCAACACTCCAGGCAAAAATTCACCTGGATAGCAAAGGTTTGCCTAAGAAAGATGTCCTCCACAGCATGAGGGAACAACTCAGCACAGGAAACCAGGGTGTCCACTCTGAACTCCCTCTGCAGGAGCCCAATATGAGTGGCTGTATACAAAATTTTGTGTTTTGGACCTTTAAGAGGGTGCCTGCATCTCTAGCTCTCTCTCCCTGGCATACTGTAATGCTGCTGCTCTTCTTTTTCTTTTTTTCTGAACAGGTTTTATTATGCAGACGGGGTGGGGTTCAGTCCTTCTTGGCTGTTGCCTTCCTCATGACTGCAAGGACATTGCTCAGCTCCCCTCTCTTCCTCCCGACCCTTTTCTTGATGAACTTCGGAGCCCTCTTGTCCTTAGAGGCCTTGAGCAGCTCCATGGCACAGCTCGTCGGGGGAAAGCCGCACGGACGCGGTGTGCTTGGAGCGGCGCCCGCGGCGGCGGCCGTGCCTTGGCTTGCTCACGTTCTTGGTCGCCTGTGGCCCTTGCTGAGGCCCATGGCCATGGGGCAGCACGGAGCCATGGCTGCCGCTGCAGAAGCAACACTGCTGCTTCTCACAGAGTTAGGCGGGCACCTTTCTCAGTGCTGGTGCTCTCTGCTGGGGCCCAGCTCTGGGTTTAGATCCCAGAGCTCTCAGCAACCCCTAGAGCTGAGACGTGCCTCCAGACCTTCCATTGCTTTCTGTGAAAACTCTTTCAACCAGTCTCTGTATCTACCTAGTCTCCAGTTAGCCTATACACTGTTGTCATAGTTTTGCTATCAATAACATGTAGCAATCTATCCTGGAATACACATCTACTTCTAAACCTATAAGTGGGTCTGAAGGCATCCATTCAGGAATTAATTTTGGGGTCTTTTACCTATATTAGATGTGGCCAAATTGCTCTCCAAAATGACTGTACTGATTTGTACCCCATCAGTGTTTGGGAGTTACGGCTATTCCACATTTCTGCTAACAGTTGGTTTGCTACAAACTCATCATTTTCACGCCGTTAAAAGAGGCCCTCTCAATATTTATGTCTATCCAGATTTTAAATGCACCCACTGTTTAGACAGTAATTCTTGTTGAAGAAATATATACAAAACACATCGAATTTATCATACCCAGTACTAACCTTGGAATGAGAGCCTTGGACTCCTCAGCAGTCTCTGGACAAAGGTTGGCCAAACAGGCCAACTCAAACTTATGAAGCTTCTTCTGGAGCAACAAGCTGATCATAAGAAGAAAATCATAACCAAACATAATCAAATTGTGATGAATAAGAAATGAGGGGTGGGGAGTTCAAATGAAACAAGAAATAGGAAAATAAAGCACTTGCAATCTTTCTGTAATGATTAGGGCGGTTGCAAAATTCTACTTTCAATTTACTTTGTGGTCCTATTCCTGGGGAACAGGAAGTTACAACAAAATGAAGGAAACAAAGTTATGAAATCACATGCAGTCAGAAAAGCCCTGCTATTGCAACTTATGAAAAACCACAATATGCCTCAAGGAATATGCAATGTTTCCCCAGGAATTTATTTTGTTGCTCTCTGCTCTTCTTACCACTCTGCCTTGCTTCCATTAATTTTGTCAAACACATATTAGATGCTCCCAACCTGTTAGGTGTTTTGACTTGGAGAAAATTATTTTAAATTTATAAAAATAAATACATACATACATATCTTACTTTGTACAAATATATATGTAAACTGCATCTTATTTTAAATGCCAAACTGTATAAAACAACAGCCAATGCCCTGACTTCTCAGCTCAGTGGTTCAAGTGTTGGTCCGTGCACCAAAATGTCAAAGATTCAATCACAGGTTAAGGGTACATACCTGGGTTGCAGGATCGATCCCCAGCCCAGGTCAGACAACCAACCTATGTCTCTCTCATATCAATGTTTCTTTCTCTGTAAAAACTACTAAAAAGATCTTTAAAATTTTTTAAAAATGTATTTTTATTGCTTTTAAAGAGGAAGGGAGAGGGAGAAAGACGGAAACATCAATGATAAGAGATAATCATTGATCAGCTGCCTCCTGCACACTCCACATCATGGATTGGATCCACAAACCGGGCAATGTGTTCTGACTGGGAATAAAATGTGACTCCTGGTTCATAAATTGACATTCAACCACAGGGCCATGCTGGCTGGGCCCAATAAAAAATATTTTAAAAAAACAAATGGCCCTGGCTAGCTTGACTCAGTGTATAGAGCATCGGCCTGAGGACTGAAGGTTCCCAAGTTCGATTCCAATCAAGGACACATGCCTGGGTTGTGAGCTCAATTCCCAGTAGAGGGTGTGCAGAAGGCAGCCAATCAATGATTCTCTCTTTTCATTGATGTTTCTATCTCTCCATCTCCCTTCCTCTCTGAAACCAATAAAAATATATTAAATAAAAATAAAATAGAGCTCATCAATGGTAAATGTGGTTTCAAAGAAAACTTTATCTGTTCAGAAACAAAACACTGTGTTTATCACTATATTACAAGCATATTAATGTACAAAATTTAGAAAATACAGAAAGGCAAAAAAAAAAAGTGTGACTTACCTAGCCATTTTACCACATAAACAAATATCAACATATCATATCAGTATAGCATTCTAGACATTTTTCTATGTTTCAGAATATAAACTCACATATTCTGTTAGTAACTTCCTGTGACTTGAAGCTATTTTCATTTTGTAAAGAAAATGCAGTAAATTTGAATTTTACTTAAGTTTATGAAGAGGATCATAATGTTTTAAAATGAGCACATACTCATTTAAGAACAATCCCAAAATAGTATCAATAGCCCTGACCAATCTGCTACAGTGTTTCCCCGAAAATAAGACATCCTCCGAGAGAGAGATCCAAGATGGCTGCTCGGGTAGACATCTAACCGCGGCAGCACACAACAATTTCAATAGAATACAACTAAAATGTAGAGTGGACATTGCCCAGAGCTACAGGTAGTCGACTGACTGAAAATTCTACAACAAGAAGGAAAGAGAAAACCAGAAGGAAGATCAGAGGAGCTGAAAAAAAGCCTAAGGTACAGAGACATGCTGCACGCCCGCCCGCACGCACGCACGGAGAGGTCGCAGCCGGAGAGGAGGAAAGGGCTGGGTGCTGCCTGGCGTTCCCTAGCAGTAAGGAAATAAAACCCCCAGCCTGGGCTGAACCCTCGAACCGGCAGCACTGAGCCCCCCAAACTGGCAGCGCTGAGCCCCAGTTATGGGCCAGACCCTGGGGACCCAGGCTCCGGCAGGGGGAGACGGGGCTGTGAGGCTGAATCCCAGAAGAGCGGCGAAAAGCAGGGCCCCGGGAGTCGCGCGCAATGCGCGTAGAGGACTGAATGTTGACTCTGATGCTGGGTTACCCTAGCCGGAAGAAACAAGGCCTCCAGCGGCGCTGAGCCTCAGTTCGGACTGCTCCGAACCCCAGTTCTGGGCCGATCCCTGAAGACCCAGGCTCAGGCAGAGGGAGACAGGGCTGTGAGGTGGGTCCAGGGAGAGCGGCGAAAGGCTGGGCCCCCGGACTCGCACAAACTGCGCATAGAGGACAGTCTGTTGACTCTGATGCTGGACTCCCCTAGCGGGAAGGAGAAAAAAGCTCTAGGCTGGGGGAACGCGTTGGGGAGCAGGAGTCCCTGCCGGACGCCGGCCAACCGGCCACCAGCAAGTAGGCGGGCGACGGGGCCCCTGGGGGGGTGGGTGCCCCTGAGCCTTCGACCGCTGAGCGCGGGCAATGGAGCCAAGGTTGGGGGCTGCTTCCTGGACGGCGCCGTCCCCGGCAACAGGCTGAAGCAGTGCAGGAGCCCGCGGAGAACAAAGGGGTGCCACAGGCCAAACTGCTGAGCTCCCAGGACAAGGAGGAAGAAACCAAAGAAGTTCTCAATATGAAGAAATCAAGTGAGAGCAAAAGATAGTAAAATTACTTAAGAAAGAATACAAAAAAGTTCTTGAATCTCTCTCTCAAAAAAGTTCTTGAAAAATCAAAGACTAAGTCAGAACTCAACTCAACAGCCAACATAAATGCGTTTTTAAAAAAAAAAGAAAAAAAAAGGACAGAATGTTGGAACAGCGGCGGCCAGGCCTAGAGTGGCCAGGCACAAGGCAGTGGCAGCCAGGCCCGGAGCAGCAACGGCCAGGCCCCAGAGCAGCAGCAGCCAGAACCAGAGCATCAACAGCCAGCACTGGAGCAGCCAGACCTGGGGCAGTGGCAGCCAGACCTGAGGCGGAGGCGGCCAAGCCCAGGGTGGCCAGTCCAGGAACAACCAGACCCGGAGTGGCCGGGCCCGGAGAAGCCGGGCCCAGAGCAGCTGGGGTGGGAGCAGCCAGACCCAGAACAGCAGTAGCCAAGCCCAGAGCATCCAGGCCAGGAGTGGCCAGGCTCAGAGCAGCCAGGCCTGGAGCAGCGGCTGCCAGGCTGGGAGCGGCCAGGCCCGGGGGAGCAGCCGGGTCGTGTGCGGCCAGGCCCGGAGCAGCGGCTGCCAGGCTGGGAGGGTCCAGGCCCGGGGCAGCAGCAGCCAAGTCCAGAGCAACTAGGTCGGGAGCGGCAGTGACCAGACCCAGAGCAGATGGTTGTGGAACGAACCAGAGCAACAGAGGCCAGGCCCGGAGCAGCCAGGCCCGGAACAGCTCGCTCCTCGCCTGCCCCTGCCCCACGGCTGCCTCTCAGACATGGCTGGAAACTTTTGTGGGAACTTGAGGGTCTGCTGAATCAAGTGATGAAGGCTTAGATCTGGATGTGTTGAGTTAGTATAGGGCTGGGGTGTTGATCTGTGAGTGCCTTGGGTGGGGCCTGGATGAGGCTGGTGGACCTATTGGGAAATGTCTTTTGTGTGAAGTGTATCATTGGGCATCTGGGGGTATTATTGATATGAGAAAATGCTAAGTAACTGATTTACTATCTGAAAAGGGATTTACTATCGTGGAAAGGGAGGGAGGAAGAGACTGAACATAAACTGCACCTATGGATGAGGACAATGGGGGATGGGGAGGGGGCGGAGGGTGGGGTGGGAACCTGGTGGAGGGGGGAAGAAATGAGGAACCTTTGTAATAATATGAACAATAAAGATTGATTAAAAAAATATATATACATCCTCCGAAAATAAGACCTAGCGCATGGAAAGATAAGACATCCCTTGAAAATAAGACCTATCGCAACTTTGGGAGAAAAAATTAATATAAGACACTGCCTTATTTTCGGGGAAATAGGGTAGCACTTAGAGTATCGCCCTGTGGACCAAAGGGTCTTGGGATCAATTCCTGATCAAGGGTACGCACCTTGATTACAGGCTCAATTTCCCACCCCTGTCAATGTGTGAGTGGGAGGCAACCAACTGATGTGTCCCTAACACATAGATGTTTTTCTCTCTCTCACCCTCCCCCATCCCATCCACTATCTCTAAAACATAATAAAGAATTTACCCTCAGTCTTTGGGTGAGGATTAAAAAAAAAAAAGTATTGCTCTGGCTGGTTTGGCTCAGTGGAGTCAGCCTGAGGACTAAAGGGTGCTGGGTTTGATTCCAGTCAAGGGCACATGGCCAGGTTGTAGGCTCCATTCCCAGTAGGGGACATTTAGGAAGTAACTAATCAGTGATTATCTCTTATCATTGATGTTTCTATCTCTCTCTCCCTTTTCTATCTCTCTCTCCCTCTCCCTTCTTCTCTGAAATCAATAAAAATATATATTTTTAAAAAGGTTCAGTAATGAAAAATAATGTAAAATTCTTCCCAGAAATAACCAGTATTAATGTTTTCATAGCTCAGCCATCATGGCTCAGTGGTTGAGCATTGACCTATGAACCAGGAGGTCACGGGTTTCATTCCCTATCAGGGTACATGCTTGGGTTTGGGGATCAATCCCCAGTAGGAAGCATGGATGACACAGTTGATCAATGATTCCTGTCATCAATGTTTCTATCTCTTTCTCCCTCTCTCCTCCACTCTGAAATCAATACAAATATATTTTTTAAGTTATAAAAAGGAATCCTAACATGTTATTCCAAAATTGGCCCTTTTTCTTTTTTCTTTTCTTAAGCCTCACTAGAGCGTATTTTTTCCATTGATTTACAGAGACTGGAAGGGAGGAATGGAGGAGGTAGGAAGGTGTTGGTGTGAGAGACACATTGACTGGTTTCCTTTGACAGGTACCCTTAAGAGGCTTCGGTAGTGAACCTGAAACCCAGGCACATGCCCTGACCAGGAACTGAACCCTCCCTTCTGGTTTATAGGTTGATGCTCAACAACTGAACCACAACAACCAAGCTCAACTGGCCATTTTTCACTCAACAACATAGTAATTGTTTTCTGTGTTAGTACACACATGACTACACATTCCACTGAAACGTTGTGCCATAACTTATCATCAGGTTTCCTCTTGTTGAACGTTTCATTTATTTCCAATGCTTTTTGAAAATCATTATAAATGAATACTTGTTTGTGTAGTTGATTGCTGTATGTTTTAAAAATAAATTCCTGGAAGTAGGATTATTCAAAGGTAAGACTGTTGATTGGGGGGGGGGGGGGGGAGTGGGGGAATGGCGATGGGATAGACAGACGTGTCCCAAGCCTTGTCCCAGAGCAGATAGAAAGAACAGCCGTGGGTCGCATGGGGAGTGTCCGTTGGTGAGCTGAGGGACAGCTATACTCCAGAAGGTGGACTGCTGCTGGGTTCCTTCCCGGAGCCACCAGCTCGACAAGGAGACTGCGTCACCTTGAAGGGAAAAGCGGATGCTATTGGAAGCCTCAAAATCTATAATATGGCGCCCACCGAACAGCTGTGAACCCCAGAGCACCGATCCCCTATTGGCCCAAACATTCAAGGGAGCTCTTCCTCCACCACCAAGGAAAGGAGAGAGAGAACAACATAACCAGACACCGGAGAAGAGAGACCATGGGGAGTCAAAGAAACAGCCGCATGTAAAAGAAAAGCAGGCTTCACCAGAAAAGGAGGTAAACAAAATGGAGGCAAGCAACCTGTCTGAGAAAGAATTCAGAGAAATGGTCACAATGTGGCTCAAAGGTAAGACTGTCTGGAAGGCTTCTGAGAGACAGTGCCTTCAAGGGCTTCACCAATATATGCTCCCACCAGCAATAAATGACAGTGCCCATTTCTCCTACCTGTCATATGAGGTTTCCCATTCTTTTTAATCTTTTCTACTTAAATATTTCACCATTACTTTTCCTTGAATATGATCATTATTTCATGAGAACTAGACAGTCTTAAATTTAAAGTTGTGATATAAATCAAGCCATTTTTATGAACTGGGTATCATCTAAGGATATCAATCCTTCTCCAGTTTACTCACACTTACATTTTACACATTGTATTTTATTTGATATAAGAAAGTTTAAATACATTTATGCAAATTCTTTTATTTATTCTATTATTTAGTGCCTACAATGAGACTGACACAGTGATATGACCAAGTTCCTACCTTCACAGAATCTTACATTCAACTAGAGTGAATCATGTTTCCCACATTTAAAGTCTTGCTAAACCACAACTAATATATACATTCACTCATGTTGTCACACAGCACTTTTATGCATCATAGTTTAAATTTAAATCCTTAATTTCTTAGGAATTTATTGCTGTAATATAGAGTTCAAACTTTGTTGGAAAATATTTCCCCACTAATTTACAGTGTCATTTTAACCATAAATTGGACACATATAAAATATAATATTTTTATTTGGATGTTTCTAAAATTTCTATTGTTTCAATGACAAAGTATCATTGTATTATTTCAATTATTGTCACTTTTAAAAAATATATATTTTATTGATTTTCTAGAGAGAAGGGAGAGGGATAGAGAGCCAAAAACAACGTCGACGAGAGAGAAATCGATCAGGGGATGTACCCGCAACTAAGGTACATGCCCCCGAACCGAATTAAACCTGGGACCCTTCAGTTCACAGGCCAACGATTCATTCAGAGCCAAACCGGTTTTGGCTTATTGTCAATTTCTAATGCATTTTAACATCTTACCTAATAATAGACAAATATGTAAATTGACCATACCTCCCCTACACCACCAGCTAATCAGGAGTGATATGCAAATTAACCCAAACACATGGAGGTTAATTTGCATACACAGGGGCTGAGAGATGGGGGCGGATGCAGACATTCTGCACTCCACTGCGTCTCTCAGGGCCTTTGGGCAGCGTGGGAAGGCAGGGCTTGAGAGGAAAGAGGCGGCTCCAGGGCCTGAGGGTAAAGGAGCTGGGTGGGAGTGGAAAGGCGATGTCACCAGTCAAGGAAAAGAAAGCCATTCATCACAAATCTTCGTGCATTGGGCTTCTAATTTTATATGGGGGGGGGGGGGGGGAGCAGCGGCAATGTTAAAATATGTACACAGATAATAATTAAATAAAAAAGTAAAAATAAATAAATAAATAAATAAAATAAAAAATAATTTTATAGAAAGTCCCTTCATTAAAAAAATTTTTTTTGACAAGTCTCACAAATATAAGATTTTATTCTGCTCCCCCTTTCAATTCCCTTGACGATTTATTTATTTTTATTTTTTTAAATAAATATTTTATTGATTTTTTACACAAAGGAAGAGAGAGGGATAGAGAGTTAAAAACATCGATGAGAGCCAAAACCGGTTTGGCTCAGTGGATAAGAGCATTGGCCTGCAGAGAGAATCGATGATTCTCTCTCATCGATGTTTCTGGCTCTCTATCCCTTTCCCTTTCTCTCTGTAAAAATTCAATAAAATATATTAAAAACAAAACAAAACAAAACAAAAAAAAAAACATCGATGAAAGAGAGTCATTGATCAGCTGCCTCTTACACACCCCCTACTGGGGTTATGCCCACAACCAATGTACATGCCCTTGACTGGAATCGAACCCGGGACTTTTCAGTCTGCAGGCCGACACTCTATCCACTGAGCCAAACTGGTTTTGGCTTCTCAACTATTTAGAATAGCAAATGTATACATTAATTTGGGGCAAATTGACATTTTTACAACATAAAGACTTTTCACTCATGAATATGTTTAAATCCACCTTCATTTATTCAAGTCATCTTTTAGGCCTACCAGTTTATGGTTTTACATGAAAGGTTTGCACAGTTCCTTCTAATCTTTTCTCCATGCATACATCCACATTTGTCAGAATAGACTATATTCCACATATAGTTTTATCACCTTCATTTTCTGTACACTCAACATATGTAACCATCTTTCTATTTCTTTTTCTATCATAGGTTTAAATGACAGCATAGTAGCCAATCAAACAGATTTATCACAACGTATTTAATTACTGTCAGGGATGGGGCTGGTAGGCAAACCGCCCACAGCTCCTCCTCCCCAGCCAGCCCTGCCCAAGGCCCCTCACCCCAGCCGGCCCACCCCAATGGCCCCCACTGGGGCAGACCAGCTGGAACCCACCAGTGCACAAATTCGTGCACCAGGCCTCTAGTTCACATATATTTTTTAGTCCAAATATGCTGATATCCATACAAATCATTTAAATCACCTTCTATCCAGTAAAACTGATACTTCCAACGCTAGTTGATTTGGCTCAGTAGATAGAGTGTTGGCCTATCTGAAGGGTCTTGGGTTCGATTCTGGGTCAAGGGCACACACCTTGGTTGTAGGTTCTATCCCAACCCTAGTTAGGACACATGCAACCAATCGATGAGTTTCTCTCACATCTATACTTCTCTCTGTCCCCTCCCTTCCACTTTACTAAAAATCAATTTAAAAAATGTCCTCAGGTGAGGATTAGCAAAAACAAACAACAAAAAATTAACCCTTTGGGAAGATGTGCTGTTCTTCCTGTGGCCTTCAACACCCAGCACATCACTGCTTCTCACATCCAACCCAATGTGTGGAGCAAGCATGGATGCTTCTCTTTTCTTTCCCTCTCTCTTAAACATCAATGGGAAATAACCTCAGGTGAGGAATCACAAAAAAAAAAAAAAAAAAAAAAAAAACCACAAAACACACACACACAAAATGCTGTTGTTTTTAAAAAAAAAAAATTTTTTTTAATTGATTTCAGAGAGGAAAGGGAGATAGAAATATCAATGATGAGAATCTGATTGGCTGCCTCCTGCAAACTCTTATTGGGGGGATTGAGTCCCCAACCAGGCATGTGCCCTTGGCCATAATCGAATCTAGGACCCTTTAGTCTGAAGGCCAACGCTTTGTCCATTGAGCCAAATCTGGTAGGGCCAAAATGCTGTTTTTTTACAACATATATATGAACGTATGAAAAAAAATGTCTGAAAGGGTAACAACAAACTGCAAATAGTTACTTTGCAAGGAGGTAACTGGAATGTGGGATATGTGAGAAGGTGGCCCAAGAGAAATTTGGCCTTATAAGCAATTTTTAATTTTTGACAAATTATTTTACATACATTCATCCTAGAGATGATGAGGGGTAATAGCCTAACCCTGTAGATGTCCAATAGTCTGGATTAACAAAAACTTTCTTTTAGCCCAGCAGGCATGATCCTCAGTGTGTGGCGTGCATGGCACCGCCAATCAACGATTCTCTCTCATCACTGATTTTCTCTCTCCCCCTCTTCCTCTGAAACCAGTAAAAATATTTTATTAAAAGAAACGTCCTTTAGCACTCACCTTCGGACACTGGCAATGGTCTCTCTGTTTTTGAAACGACTGAAACGAGCTGTGTAGTTTAACGTTTTCATGAAGACCTCAGAAAGTTCCTGCTCGTCCTCGGCACTCTCGTTCTGCTGCTTCCGATGCTCCAGGAGCATGTGAACTTCTGAATTTAGAAGCGTCTCAGCCGTCTCAAACTCTATTCGTGAGAAGCATAAACGTTAGCTGAAAATATTCCTTCAAAGGTGAGCTTCTAAATGTTGATTTTTTCCTTTGAGACTTATAGCAATCTATTACATTGTTAATATATTGTATTGGGGTATTAGTTTCAGGTGTACAATACAGTGATTGGACATTTCTATACCTTACAATGTGCCCATCCATTCCATTAATTCTAGTGATCATCTGCCACAGTGTAAACCTATCACAATATTAGAGTCCTCTCCCCCTCTCCACACAGCCGAAAATCCCCCCCCCAGTCTGTCTCTATCATTCTTTTTGTTCATTTGTTTTCTGGATCCCACATATAAGTGAAACTGTACAACAGTTTCTCTTTCTCTTATTTTCCTTTAGCATAATACTCTCTAGGTCAGTGGTTCTCAACCTTTCTAATGCTATGACCCTTTAATACAGTTCCTCATGATGTGGTGAGCCCCAGCAATAAAATTATTTTCGTTGCTACTTCATAACCGTAATTTTGCTATGTTAATGAATCATAATGTAAATATCTGTGTTTTCTGATGGTCTTAGGCTCCACAGCAGCGATTCTCAACCTGGGGGTCAAGACACCTAGGTTGCTTCTGTAGCTTGCCTATCATAAAAAATGCTGCAGTGAACAGAGGTGTATATTTTTTTTTGAATTCATGAATTAGAATTGCTAGAATTAGCAATTAGAATTGCTAATTCTAATTGCTAATTCAAACTCTATTCGTGAGAAGCATAAACGTTAGCTGAAAATATTCCTTCAAAGGTGAGCTTCTAAATGTTGATTTTTTCCTTTGAGACTTATAGCAATCTATTACATTGTTAATATATTGTATTGGGGTATTAGTTTCAGGTGTACAATACAGTGATTGGACATTAGAATTGCTAGACCCATTTTCAGTTTTCTAAGGAAGCTCTATACTGTTTCCACAGTGGCTACACCAGTCTGCATCCCACCAACAGTGCAGGGGAGCTCCTTTTCCTCCCATTTTTGCCCCGACTTGTTCTTTTTGGATTTGCTGATAGCCATTCTGACAAGTGTGCGGTGATAACTCATTGTGGTTTTAATTTACATTTCTCTGATCATTAGTGATGTTGAGCATCTTTTAATACTCGTAGGCCATTTGTATGTCTCCTTTGGAGAAAAGTTTTTCTGCCCATTTTTTCTAGTATATGTGCTGCAGAGGTGCATACTATATGGCCATTTTACGATAGCATTATTTTTTATTGCGCTATATGGGTTCTTTATATATTTTTGCCATTAAACCCTTGTCTGATACATCATTTGCAAATATACTCTCATTTTAAGAATTATTGTTAGGCCCAGGTAGCATGGCTCAGGGCTTGAGCATCGACCAATGAACCAGGTGGTTACATTTTTGATTCCCAGTCAGGGCACATCCCGAGGCTGCAGGCTCAAGTCCCAGTATGGAGCATGAAAGAGGCAGCCAACTGATGATTCTCTCTCATCATTGATGCTTCCCTCTCTCCCCCTTCCTCTCTGAAATCAACAAAACAAAATAATACCCTCTTTCCCTGCCACAGTGGAGTTGCGCGGAGGCGGACGCTTGCATGTGTTCAAGATTTGGTTCTACCCATAACCCACTGCCATGGCCGAGGAAGGCATTGCCGCTGGAGGGGTAATGGATGTGAACACTGCTTTGCAAGAGGCACTGCAGACCGCCCGCATCCCCAAAGGCCTGCGCGGAATTCGTGACGCTGCCAAAGCCTTAGATGAGCACCAAGCCCACCTTTGTGCACTTGCATCCAACAGTGCTGAGCCCATGTACGTCAAGTTGGTGGAGGCTCTTTGTGCTGACCATCAAATCAACCCATAAAGGCTGACGACAACAAGAAACTAGGGGAATGGGTAGGCCTCTGTAAAATCGACAGAGGGAAAACCCCGTAAAGTGGTTGGCTGCAGTTGCGTGGTGGTTAAGGACTATGGCAGTGTCTTAGGCAAAGGATGTCATCGAGGAGTACTTCAAATGCGAGAAATGAACAAATAAACTTGGCTTTTGTTTATAAAAATACACACACACACACACACAATAATACACACGTGCGTGCACTCTAGAGACCCGGTGCACGGCCTTCACCCTCTTCAATCTGGGGCCCCTCAAGGGATGTCTGACCCTGGTGGGACTGGGCCTAACAGGGCATCGGATATCCCTCACAATCCAGGACTGCTGGCTCCCAAATGCTTGCCTGCCTGCCTTCCTGACCGCCCCCTAACCACTCCCCTGACAGCCTAATTGATGTCTGCTTCCCTGCCAATCTGTTTGCCAACTTCCCTCCTCTGCTGGCCTGGTCATCCCTAACTGCCCTTCCCTGCAGGCTTGATCACGCCCAGCTGTCCTCCCTTGCAGGCCTGGTCCCTCCCAACTATCCTCCCCTGCTGGCCATCTTGTGTTCACATGAGGACAGGATACTTGACCATATGGGGGCAGCCATCTTGTGTGTTGGAGTGATGGTCAATCTGCATATTACTCTTTGGTGCATGGGTGGGGGCCAACTGGTTTGCCCTGAAGGGTGTCCCGGATCAGGGTGGGGTTCCCTTGGGGCATGGGGTGGCCTGGGAGTGGTGGTTTGCAGGCCGGCCACAGGCCCCTGTGACCCAAGGGACCAAAGAGAGGCCCTGGCATCTGGGATTTATTTATCTTCTACAATTGAAACTTTGTAGCCTAGAGCAGAGCCAAGCCTTCTGCTCCCTGTGTGGCAGACTTTTGTTGGGATTTATTTATCTTCTACAATTGAAACTTTGTAGCCTTAAGTGGAGGCCTGCGCCTGCCAGGGTGTGCAGAAAGCTTAGCTTCCTCCATCGTCAGAAAACCCAAGCCTCCCTCCTGTTCTCCCCGTGACCACAGCCATCTTGGTTGGGTTAATTTGCATACTCACTCCTGATTGGCTGGTGGGTGTAGCAGAGTGGTGGTTAATTTACATGTTACTCTTTCATTAGATAGTGTGTGTGTATAAAGAATTATTATGTTAGAGAGGGCCGAATCTTTGGAAGCAAACATTAATGAAACACTCCAAATTACATTGTTTGCATGAGTCATACCTGCCAGGGAAATTGATGATTTTAAGGCTTTTGTATATAATAGGATTTGAGCTTGCAGATAAAAACATCCATTCCCTCTATATTTCATAGTCAAAGTACTCTATCAGGTGAATCTAATTTATTTAACTTTTTAAATTGATTTCAGAGCCAAAACCGGTTTGGCTCAGTGGATAGAGAGTTGGCCTGCAGACTAAAAGGTCCCAGGTTCAATTCCAGTCAGGGGCACGTACCTTGGTTGTAGACACATCCCCAGTGGGGGGTGGGCAGGAGGCAGCTGATCAGTGATTGTCATCAATGTTTCTAAACTCTCTACCCCTCTCTTCCTCTCTGTAAAAAATCAATAAAACATATTTAAGAAAATAAAATAAAATAAAATAAAATAAAAAAATTGATTTCAGAGAGGAAGGAAGAGAGAGAGAAACATCAATGATGAGAGAGAATCACTGATTGTCTGCCTTCTACACACCCCCTACTGGGGATCAAGCCTGAAACTAGGCATGTGCCCTTGACAGGAATCAAACCTTGGACCCTTTACTCCGCAGGCCGACGCTCTATCCGCTGAGCCAAACCAGCTAGGGCAACTAAATCTAATTTAAATATTTAGCATGGCACTCATCCCATATAATAAAAGGGTAATGTGCAAATCGACCAAATGACAAGTCACTATGATGCTGACTGACAACCAGGGGGGCAACTGCTCAACACAGGAGCGGTCCCTGGTGGTCAGTGTGCTCCCACAAGGGGAGTGCTGCTCAGAGAGAAGCCGGGCTCATGGCTGGCGAGCTCAGTGGTGATGGCAGGAGCCTCTCCCACATCAGCAGCAGTGCTAAAGACCCCAAGGAGTCAACGGACTGCAAGAGGGTGCAGGCCGGGCTGAGGGAGCCCGAGGCCCCAGTGCACGAGTGCCATGCACAGGCCTCTAGTATAATAATTCTCTTGATCAAGGATAATCCTATATAATAAAAGCCTAGCATGCTGTGTCTGGTTGTCCAATCAAAGCCTAACTTGCTAATGATGATATGCTAAAGCTGCTCACTCACTCACTCACTATGAAATGCAATGACCACCAGGGGCAGACAGTCAACAGGTTGACTAGTGGCTATGATGTGCACTGATCACCAAGGGTAGATGCTCAGACTGCTAGGTGACAGCTTGCTGCTGGGGTCTGGCCAATCCGGACTAAGCAAGACAGGCCAGACACACCCTGGAGCCCTCCTGCAGTCCCTCCCCAGCTGGCCAACTTAACGCATCCCTCCCCAGGCCCGACTGTGCACCAGTGGGATCTCTCGGCCTGGCCTGCACTTTCTTGCAATCTGGGACCCGCAGGGGATGCCAAAGAGCCAGTTTTGGCCCGATCCCGCAGACCTGTCTAAGGGACCCCATTGATGCATGAATTCATGCACCTGGCCTCTAGTACCTATATAAGCAATCTTTAAAGATTGTTTTAAAAAAAGGGAAAAAACCACACATACTTTTGGTTCCTTTTCATGAAATATGGCAACCTTTTCCTATATTTTCAGGATGACATTGTTAAATTGCTATTATTCCTTGGGAAAATCATTATCTTCCTCACATTCCCAAAGAAGCATATTTTCCTAATACTTATTATAAAATATTAGAGCTGGTTTTTAACTGCCTTTCCCTTATCTGTGAGTTCCCCCAGAGTAGAAATCATCCATAAACATGATTCATGTTTATAATGCCACACTGATGAAGAGGAAGCAATAATTAGAAAACTCCAGTTACTTGCAATTTGGCATTTACATGTGATATGAATATGTCTACTATTGGGGAAATCACAAACACCTCAATTGGATTATTGTCTTCAATTCTCAGGCCAGGTGATAAGAGCTTCACTCTTTTCACAACTGTCTGGGGAGAGGATGTCAAAAGGAAACTTTATGTGAAAATTCTCATAGCTACTAAATACAATGGCCAGCATAGTTTGAAAAAGAGGACCACCAAGAGTTAATTCTAGCCTTAGCCCTAGCACCATAAGCGTGTCTCCAGTGCAGCAGTTCTTCCATTATAGACACAGCGGGTCCTCACAGACAATTGGCCTGGAGGTCAATTCCTCCCATTGTACCAACAGCAATCAAGGCTTAACTACACCAAGACTTTGCATTCAGCCCACAAAAGGGTGTAACCAAAAGCAACCACCTCGGGTGATTGGGGAAGCTGAGCTACTGGCCCCTATAGGTCACCTACCACACAAAGCCACTCCATCAACACAGGGAGGCAGCCAAAATGCGGAAACACAGAAGCATGTCACGAATGGGAGAGACAGAGAAAAGTAAACTACTGGACAACACAGAGTTCAGGTTTACATTTATAAGATTACTCAAGAATCTTCTAAAAACCATTGAGAAGCTTGAAGAGACCTTCAAGGACCTTAATGAGAATGCCAAAAAAAAAAAAAAATTAAGGCAGAAATTAAGCATACACTGTCCTAAATAAAGAATATATAGAAACTCAACTGTATATCAACATGCCCCAAGAATCAAACCAAAGATCTGAAATATAAGGAAGAAAAAAATCACCGAACCAGAGAGGAAGAAAGAAGAATCCAAAAGTGTGAGGATAATGTAAGGAGCCTCTGGGACAGCTTTCAGCGTACCAACATCCAGATTTTTTGGGGTGCCAGAAAAGAGAGAGCAGGATATTGAAGGCCTACTGAAAGAAATAATAACAGAAAACTTTCCCTTCCTGGTAAAAGAAATAGACTTACAAGTCCAGGAAGCACACAGAACCCCAAACAGGAATCCAAAGAGGACCACACCAAGACACATCATAATTAAAATGCCAAGGGCAAAAGACAAAGAGAGAATCTTGAAAGAGAGAAAAAAAATCTTGAAAGAGAGAAAAACAATTAGTTACCTACAAGGGAGTACCCAAACAACTGTCGGCTGATTTCCCAACAGAAACTATGCAGGCCAGAAGGGAGTGGTAAGAAATATTCAAAATGATGAATACCAAGAACCTACAACCAAGATTACTCTACCCAGTAAAGCTATCATTCAGAATTGAAGGTCAGATAAAGAGCTTCACAAACAAGAAAAAGCTAGAGTTCATCACCACCAAATCAGGATTCCATGAAATGCTCAAGGGTATTCTTTAAGAAGAGGAAGAAGAAAAAGGTAAAGGTAAAAACCATGAACACCTAAAAGACATCAAATATATACCTACCAACAAGTGAATCTAAAAATCAAGTGAATAAAAAGTCTGAAGAACAGAATGGACTGGTGAATATAATAGTATCAGGGACATAGAAAGGGATTGGACTGACAATTCTCAGGAGGAAGGGGGTCTGGGAGATATGGGAAGAGATTGGACAAAAATCTTACACCTATGGATGAAGGCAGTGGCAGAGAGTAAGGGCATGGGGTGGGGAATCAGGTGGAGGGGAGCAATGGGGGAGGGAAGAGGAACATCTGTAATAATCTGAACAATAAAGATTTATTATATTAAAAAATAAAATTTTAAAAACTGGCCTAATTTCTCACAAAATTAAGAAAACCATTTCCTTCTTAGTTATTACTAAGTTTTAAAAAGAAACACATGTATATTGCCATCATGCAATATGTGAAGCTATCTTCACATATCTTTTGTGAAGCTATCCTATGGAAATATTTGCACCTGAGTTTATGAAATAAAAAACTGGCCTGGCTGATGTGGCTCAGTGGTTGAACATCACAGTTGGATTCCTGGTTTGGACACAGGCCTAGGTTCAATCCCTAGTAGGGGGTTTGTAGGAGGCAGCCAATCAATGTTTCTCTCTCTCCCCTTCTCCCTTCCTCTCTGAAATCAATAAAAAAAATTAAATTGGAAGCAAGCTATCTATAAACAGTATTACAGTACAACCATTAAGTACTAATCCCATTTTGCAAAGAAAAAAATGTACGAGTATATTTATGAATAAAAATAAATTTGGAAGAATAAGCAATGTACTTGTCTTGGAGAAAGGTTGTGGAGTTTCACTTTTTATTATGAAAATTTATATAAGCCCTGGCTGATGTGTTCACTGCTTAGAATGTCAGCACCTGGTACTGAAGGGTCACAGGTCCAATTCCAGGTCCAGGGCAGGTGCATACCTGCAGTGCAGGTTCCATTCTGATCGGTCTAGCAAAAGACTATCTCCCTCTCTCACATGAAGTTTTTCTCTCTCACCTCCCCTCCCTTCTACTCTCTCTCTCTCTAAAAAAAAAAAAAAAAAAATATATATATATATATATATATATATATATATATATATATATGTGTGTGTGTGTGTGTGTGTGTGTGTGTGTGTGTGTATTTATGTGAATGGGAAAATATTCTTGGGTGAGGATTAACAAAAAATAATAGCAATTTAAGTATAATTTTAATTATATAATTTAGTTATAAATATATAAAGTTTCACAATAAATACAATTACACGATTTTTTAATAAGAAGGGTACTGTTAAGGTTTCCTCCATTTGCTTTGTTTTTCCATACCTACAAGATAACATCTAACGCTCTCTCTTTATTCTTGGCTTCATCACACTGCACAGAGGAAGTTCCCGAATAGCATAATGTGCTCTTCGCCGCCCAAACCCGGCCAGGGTCCTCCGCTCCCTTCCCGACCGGCCTCCGAGGCCGGCCCAGCGGACAGCTCCGGGGATTCCTAGGCCGCGCACCACAGGGGGCCGTGCCCGCTCCCCGGGGGGACACTGCCCGCTCCCCGGGGGGACACTGCCCGCTCCCCGGGGGGACAGTGCCCGCTCCCCGGGGGACAGTGCCCGCTCCCCGGGGGACAGTGCCCGCTCCCCGGGGGGACAGTGCCCGCTCCCCGGGGGGACACTGCCCGCTCCCCGGGGGGACAGTGCCCGCTCCCCGGGGGGACAGTGCCCGCTTCCCGGGGGGACAGTGCCCGCTCCCGGGGACACTGCCCGCTCCCGGGGGACACTGCCCGCTCCCGGGGGGACACTGCCCGCTCCCGGGGGGACAGTGCCCGCTCCCCGGGGACACTGCCCGCTCCCGGGGGACTGTGCCCGCTCCCCCGGGGCCGCGCCCGCTCCCCGGGGACAGTGCCCGCTCCGGGGGGACTGTGCCTGCTCCCGGGGGACACTGCCCGCTCCCGGGGACAGTGCCCGCTTCCCGGGGGGACAGTGCCCGCTCCCGGGGGGACAGTGCCCGCTCCCGGGGGACACTGCCCGCTCCCGGGGGACACTGCCCGCTCCCGGGGGACTGTGCCCGGCTCCCGGGGGGACAGTGCCCGCTCCCGGGGACAGTGCCCGCTCCGGGGGGACTGTGCCCGCTCCCGGGGGACACTGCCCGCTCCCGGGGACAGTGCCCGCTTCCCGGGGGGACAGTGCCCGCTCCCCGGGGGGACAGTGCCCGCTCCCGGGGGACACTGCCCGCTCCCCGGGGGGACAGTGCCCGCTCCCCGGGGGGACAGTGCCCGCTCCCGGGGACAGTGCCCGCTCCCGGGGGACACTGCCCGCTCCCGGGGGAACAGTGCCCGCTCCCGGGGGGACAGTGCCCGCTCCCCGGGGACAGTGCCCGCTCCGGGGGGACAGTGCCCGCTCCCGGGGACAGTGCCCGCTCCGGGGGGACAGTGCCCGCTCCCGGGGACAGTGCCCGCTCCGGGGGGACAGTGCCCGCTCCGGGGGGACTGTGCCCGCTCCCCCGGGGCCGCGCCTTCGGGCGGGAACTCCAAGCAGCGGCGGCAGCGGCGAGCGGAAGCCCCCTCGGGCGGCGCACGCCCCTCCCGCCGGTCCCGCCCCCGCCGCGGGTCTGGGCTCGGCCTGGCGGAAGCCCGGGCCCTCGGTACCAAGGAGCCGAGCTCGGCCCGCGCGGCCTCCTAACGGCTGAGCCCTGGGCCCCTCGGATAGTCGGCTCCGTCCCCCGACGGCCGGCAGCTGGGCAGCCCGGGCCCACCTTTGGGGAAGATGAGCTGCGAGGCGTCCTCCTCCACGTCGCCAGCCCGCGGGTCGCTGCCGCCCGCCGCCATCGCGCACCGGCCTCCCTCCGCCGGAAGTGGAAGCGCGGGCCCCGCCCACAGCGGAAGGGGCGGGCCCTCTAGGTGGGCGGAGCAGCAGCTGAGGCCCCGGGGAGGTGCGCGCCGCCCCTCCGCCCCGGCCCCGCCCCTCCGCCCCATACATGATCCCATTGAGCCAAACCGGTTTCGGCTGCTAGGGATTTTTATCCTCAGACTGTCAGTGTTGTTATTTTTGGTCCCGGGTTTGCAAGGACTGCTCTTCAGGCCTCCCCTGAGCTGGTCAGGTTTATCCTGTGGCCCCATTTTGGTCCACAGGTAAAGTAATGGTAGACTAGGTAGCATTGGCAGAGCTTGCTTTTTGAAGAGCTGCGAACAGAGGTACTGAAAGGAATCCCGAGACAGGCAGCCGCTGGTGTGGGCAGTGGATTCTGTCCATCTGTCCATCCTGCAGGCCTTTACAGAGCACCTGCTACTCCTTTCTGTGTGCTGCCCCAGGGGTTAGCTGGGTACTCAGCGCTTGGTGCCCTCTGCACACACCATGGTAGAAAAGAGAGGAGAAGAACAAATAACACATATAGTGATGTTCACAATATGCACTTGGTTTGTCCACATTTTCATGCAGGAAACCACTATAAACATGTATGTGCAACACTCTAGGGTTAAAAAAACAATGCCATCACTTATAGATCCTCCCTTCCCCCAAATGATGGTCGGAGTATGATGTAACCTGCACCTGCGGCTTAGACATTCTTGAGCACCTAGCCAGGCACCTTACATGGACTGTACATTGAACCACCAATCAGCACCTGCCAAATACCCACGCCCCTGATTCCTAAGTGCATAATCATGTGCCTTGTATGAAACCACCCATCAGCATGTGCAGAGTATCGTAAGCACCATCCCTTCCCATTCCTCCCCTCACAAGGTGTGTCCCCCCTGCATGTGTTGCTACTTTCCCCTTGTGACAGCTCAGCAAGGTTCTTCTCTAATAAAGCCTGTGGTCCTGGTTTTCGGTCTCTGTCTCATCTTTCATTTGGTGCTGAAGGCTGGGAGAGGTGCACGGGAGCGTGGACAATCCTCAAGCCTAGCCCTGAGCTTCTGAATCCTGCTCTGGCTCTGCTGGGTGGCATGATTCTGAGTTGATTGGCTCGCTCTGCACACCTCTCGAACCCTGCCATACCATGGCCACCCTCTGGATCCAGACCTCCTGGGACTGCCCAGGCCCTGACAGGGCCCCACAGACTTACATCACCAGGACAGAGCCTCAGGTAACGACTGTGGTGGTAGTTTTTTGCAGAATAGAATGCAGGCGTTCACCAACCAGAAGGTGGGAGAGATTTATCTGCCTTGAATTCAGAACCTAATGACACCTAGGTCACCAGAATATTTGAGACCCCCGGTAGACACACCTGACAACGTCCCCTCTCAGCAGGAGGTAACTACGGAAGACGGACCTTCACCCCCTGTCCTTGCCCAAATTCTCATGTTTTTTTTAATATTACCGAAAGCCTGGAATGACAGGTGCTCCCTTCCCCCAACTGGTGGACGGAGGATGACATAACCTGTACTTGCAGCCGGACATTCCTGAGCACCTAAGCAGGCACCTTATATAGACTGTACACTGAACCACCCATCAGCACCTGCCAGATACCCTAAGCCCCTGATTCCTAAGTCCCTAGGTGCCTAATCATGTGCCTTACATGAAACCACCAATCAGCGTGTGCCGAGTGCCCTAAGCCCCGTCCCTTCCCATTCCTCCCCTCAAAAGGCGTGTTCCCTTCTGCATGTGTTGCTACTCTCCCCTTGTGACAGCTCAGCAGGGTCCTTCTCTTCCAGTAGAGCCTGTAGTCCTGGTCTTCGGCCTCTGTTCCATCTTTCAATCACCCTATCTCAGTGGTCAGCAAACCACAGCTCGCAAGCCACATGTGGCTCTTTGGCCCCTTGAGTGTTCTAACACCATTAATATATATATATATATATATATATATATATATATATATATATATATATATATATATATATATATATTATTGATTTTTTACAGAGAGTAAGGGAGAGGAATCGTCAGAAACATTGATTGAAGAGATACATCGATCAGCTGTCACCTGCACATCCCCTACTGGAGACGTGCCCAAAACCCAAGATACATGCCCTTGACCAGAATCAAACCTGGGACATTTCAGTCTGCAGGCCAACGCTTTATCCACTGAGCCAAACCTGTCAGGGCAACTCCCCCTTTTTAATCGCCTGGACTCTGTGTTTTGTCTCCTGCATAGCAAAACTCTCAGAAGGTGTCAAGGTCAGCAGCTGAGGTATTTCTTTGGCTGCAGATTAGACTGGCCACACTGGGAGAGGGGCTGGGAACCAGAAGGGTCACCCTGGAGGAGAGGCTGGGGACTGTCTGGCACTAGGAACTGGAGTGACTGGGTGAGCCTGAGACCTCTCTCATTTGGTTCCACATCAAGTGTTGTTTTGAAATCAGAATCACTCCTTTTTCAGTTTTCTGTAGTCTACATAGAAACTGAGGGAGCTGAAACCAGTTTGGCTCAGCGGTAGAGCGTCGGTCTGCGGACTGAAAGGTCCCAGGTTCGATTCCGGTCAAGGGTATGTACGTTGGTTGCGGGCACATCTCTGGTAGGGGGTGTGCAAGAGGCAGCTGGTCGATGTTTCTCTCTCATCGACATTTCTAGCTCTCTATCTCTCTCCCTTCCTCTCTGTAAAAAATCAGTAAAATATATTATATATATATATATATAAAAAAAAGAAACCGAGGGAGTAAGCAACAAAGACAGAGACCCTAGAATCTTTGTCAGAACTTCTTTTTAAAATGTTAGTTTTGTTGTGTGTGTGTTTTTTATTTCAGAAAGTAAGAGAGGGAGACGACGACATCAATGATGATTCATTTATCAGCTACCTCTTGCATGCCCCCTACTGGGGATTGAGCCCAAAACCTGGGCATGTGCCCTACCCAGGAATCAAACCGTGACCTCCAGGTTCATGAGTCAACACTCAACCATTAACCACTCAACCACTCACTCAACCTGCCAGGCAGAGCTTCATTTTATTATTATTTTAATATTTTTTAAATTGATTTCAGAGAGGGAGATAGAAACATCAATGTGAGAAAGAATCGATTGGCTGCTAATGCACGCCCCACATTGGGATCGAGTCCACAACCCGGGCATGTGCTCTGACAGGGAATCGAACCATCACCTCCTAGTTCATAGGTTAACACTCAACCACTGAGCCATGCTGGTTGGGTCAGGGTGGCATATTTCATGTTAAAGTGTACCATCACCATCACCACCACCACGTCCTAACCGAAACCATGAGGTCAAAGTCTTGGCTGTTTGTATTAATGTGGAATATTAATCTCTAGAACCATAATTTCTCTCGAAGGAACAATTCCTCTCACACAGCCCAGTTATTGCCAAACTGTTTAATCAGTTGTTCCTAGTTTTTCCAAAATTATCATATGAACCTGACATCTAACATGTGGTCACATGCTTATGACTTCTGCCAAGTGTAAGGGCCGCAGAACTGGGTATTTTAAGAAAAAAAATTACATCCTTGTAAATAAAAATTTAAACCAAAGACTGACAATCTCAGAATGTTTGTTTGAAAACGATTAGTCATTTTTCTCCAAACACATCTCATTTTTCTGGGCCTTTTCTTTAGGTCAGAACATACTGGTGTCCCAGGGTGGATTAATGTCACCCAATGGTATTTCTCCCCCTCTTCAGGTTTTAACTTTACAGGCAAGGTCAGTTTTATTGGAAAAGCTAACGAGATCTATGAACCTTCTTTCCAAAGTCCAAACTGTACAAGGCTCGCGCCCCCTGGCTCAGGAAACGCGGCTCTGACAAGCAGTGCATCGCCCCTGCAGTGTAGGCGGCCATGACACCGCACAGAATATGTGGCCTGGAGGAATGCCATTTAGTTGGCTATCTTTAAAAATAGGATGACTGGGGCCACTAATGAAAAAAAAAAAAAGATGCCCGGCCAGAGTGGCTCAGTTGGTTGGGCGTAGTTCTGTGTACTAGGTTAGATTCCTGGTCAATGGGTTGTGGGCTCAATGCAGTAGGCAGCCGATCAATTATTCTCACATCAATGCTTCTCTCCCCCTTTCTAGCTTCCTCTTTCTAAAAATCAATAAACGACTTTAAAGAAAAAGCAAAAGGCAGGACAAAGAACAAATTTTACTCATAATGATTTATTCTCTACAATACTTCATTAGAGAGTTCAATGATTTGCACTCAGCAGTTATATAGCCCAGAGGCAACCAAGTGTAATACAAGAATCGGTCTGAAGTCCTTGCACTTGAAGGCTATACAAAGTCTCTTGCTTCAAAGAAATAGGAAAATTAATAAAAAACACACAAGCTCCCTAGGCTCCACAGAAAATAACATCAACAGTTAGTGAAATAGGTGTTAACATGGAAAACAAATCTTGTGCAAATATTAACACCTAGGACTTCTGTATAGGTTTTTATTACAAACAATAAAATGTTATGTCTCCATTACAAACCTTTCATATTGAAAGGATCCCTAACAGGAATTACTCTAATATTATGAAGCAAAAAAAGTTTAAGAACCTCACAGTGGAAACAATGCAACACCGACCAACTCTAGCGATGAGACATTCTCCTTTAATGTAAGACAAACGCAATTTGTAACGACACGCAGAATGTCCTCGCTGTGGGCGTCAGGAGACAAGCTCACTTTCCAGACCAAAGGCACTCGCTGCGAGGGAGGAAACAAGGTCTGAGCCAGACCCGCACGTGGGGCTGGTCCCGTGACAACAGTGGTCACCTACTGTTCAGCTTGAGCAGCCCAAGGGCAGACGGAGCGAGCAAAACCAGCTTCTCTGTAAAGCCGCTGCTCACACGCTGCGCAGGTGGAGAGAGGGGCGGTTCAGGTCTAGCTTGGAGCGGTCACCCCCTCTGCACGGCCGCCACCCGGATGGTTGACTCGGTGCCTGAGGGCCACCTGCCACACCTCCATGTGGCCACGACCGTGCACTCCCATACCGCTTCCTGACTAGGCCCGTTGAAGACGGACAGGGATGGCGCCCTCCCTTCCAGGACCACATAGCTTTCCTTGGTCAACTCCGGAGTCCCCGTGATGAGCAAGGGACCCCGAGCATCTCCTCTGCTGGGCCTGAAGCCCACTCAGTGTGGTGCTGGCGTCACCAGCCAGGTCTGTGCAGACTCCCCAGCCCCTCGTGTGTGGGTTCAAATGTTTCTGTTCATTTTCTTAACGGCAGGTATCCTACCTCACCTTAATAAGATAAAACAAAAAAATCACACTCTACATTGGGGAAGACAGACAGGGCAGCATGTCTACAAGAAACAATAGGCTTGAAAAGCATGGCACTGTAAATGCTTGCATGACCAGTTTCACTGAGCGTGCTCAGGGGTAAAATTTTAGCACCATTTTTTTTTTGCTTTTTTTTTAATCTTTAGAAATTAAACAAAATTTTTAACATAGAACACTTGAATAATAATGAAGTGTAGCCCTATAGATCAACACTGTTGTACAAATTGAAGGTGGGTGGTTTAGTCCCAAACTGACCACCCTGATGTCAATCCATGGCACCGGCACATAAAAGTAACTGTCGTCACGTTTGTAACATTTATTATTCTCAGCAGCAGGAAATCATGAAACAATCCCTTCATCTTCAATAGCTTTTGCATTACCTCTGCAAGGAAAAGGGGCACAAGTGAGAATCAGCCCAGCCTGGGCATCCGATGCCAGCCCATTGCCCCTGCGTGCGCCGCAGCCTGAGAGGATGACGCCAAGCTAGTCTGCCCACCTTTATTCATCTCTTCCAGGAAACAGACAGCTGTGCCTGTAATAGCATGTGTCGTTTCTTACACCGTGTCCCAGTCCACCCCCTTCCCCAATTCTGGCGGAAGAAAACTCAAAAGGTCTTTTGACTTGACTATTTGCCCATTCTGGAAAGCCACACCACCACCACATAAACTTTTAAAAATAAATTAAATAAAAACATTGTGTCCACCAGGTTGACATCTAATCCACTTCAAGAGTTCTCCAAGTGCTGCTGGAGTGTCACCCTCAGGGTCTCCCCTCCCACCGGCCACGCCTCCTGTGGCCCTCCAGCACTGTGCTGCCAGGTCCCGCTGCTGTCAGCTCTGCACCAAGGGGGCGGAGGCGGGGCCAGCGGGAGGAGGACTCGCTGGCAGGTCCTCAGCGGCTGCAGGAAAGGGAGAAGTGCCACAGGAGAGCGGAAGGGCAGAGCTAACGGAGCTGTTGGGAAGCCTGCAGGGTGGGTGAAGATAATGATTCGCCTGGTGTGACCACACAGCGTTGCTCTAAAGTCCCGAAAAGGACAGAATCAACCGTCTTCTCCGCCTCCAGGGAAAGCAGGAAAAGGAACTCCTCTGCTTTTAAGTCCCTTAAAGATGTTTGCCTGAAGGAACACAAACAGCTTGGAGACCCTGGATGTTCTCCTGTGACAATGTCTTCCTACAGCCCGACCCGGGTGTGTGTTTGAACATCTCCGTCTTCCGGGAACCTAGATGCAGCTCTAGGCACTGCTGCCAGGCGAGGAGTGAGGTAGCCGGGTGGTGAGGAGGCCTCTCCTTTCACGCTGCACACAGCAAGGATGTCAGGACCTCCCGTAGGCATCCCAGTTCATTCCTCAACAGGTGACACACAGAGCTCTGGTGAGTACCAGGAGACTCCATGCGGGAAGAGCGCCCGTAAATCCAATGTCAGCAGGGTTAGAACGAAACCTTGGAGATCGATTGAGCAACGAATGAGATCTGCCCCGCCACCCAAAGGGCTTTCCATCTGGAAGTGGGTGTCTGTCCAGGAGCCTCACAGGGCTCACAGCGTCCACTCATGAAGCATGGAGGTTGTAACCAACTGTTGGTATGCAATAAACTGGACGTTTAAAAAAGGAATTTAAAACAACCTAAAAATGTGTCTTGTTGGTCTCCGTTGCCCAGACTGCCAGGGGAAACACATCTACTCGATCTGGGAGGCTACAAGGTGCAAGTGGGTCAACCTTCAGGAACCATGAATTCCAGCTCCCACTGTGTAGCCAGCAAGCAGGTACATGCTGAGGGCCTTCTGAACCCACAGGCAATTCTCACTGGTCATGGAGGAGCCCCAATCCAACGGAACCCCATAATGAGGAAAGGCTGAAGTAAGGCTTGGGCCCCTCAAGTTCTGTTTCATTCAATGTGACCCCGCCCTCCCACTCCACACCCCCGAGTCAGCTGGAGGCAGACTTGGCAACGGAAGCTAGCATCATAAAATGGTGCAGTAATAGAAGTAACTGGACCAGGAAGAGGAGGCGTCCGCTCCAATGATGTCATAGCCATGGGTGGCCACAGGGGGGTGGGACTGGTCATGCAGCCGTGTGTCAGGAGTAATGATTGTAGAGGGGCGGGGCATGAAGAGTGCCATTCTGGAGACAGTGCTGTCGAGAAGCAACATACTCTGCATAACTGATTGTCACCTTCTCACTTCGGTACCTGTGTGAGGAGACAGGGAAGGGTATTATGAACCCCAAACACTTCATTCAGTAAGGTCACTCAGCATAGAAAATCAAAAGCTTATTCCACATTTTGAAAGAATAAAATGGAAGACCAAGAGCAACCTTACTTACAGAAAATGAAAGACAGCACAAGAAAACAATGTTGTTATTACAAATGAACGAGATGAAAAAGCACAACCACATCTCCCTGAGAAGGTGTTTTCTGCACATCCCACCTTTAACACTACATATGCTTATCGTCAGGCTGCTCTTAAGCAATCTGCTCCGGTCTGGGGGGAGAATCTCACGTCAGAGGGCATGGGTGGCAGAGTGGAAGAGGACTGCAACCAAGGCCCAATGTAAACTGCAAGTCTGCTTTCAGGTTAGAATGAGGTAAAATGACAGAAACACAACCTCCATTTGCAAAAAGTAACAGGCGAGTTATTTATAACCGAAAGGGCACAGATACCTAATTCTGGGTCAAATTCTCATGAAGCAGGTTAAAGGATCCTGGGGCTATATAGGACAGCCTCAATTCCTGGATGAATATGCCATCTATCACAGGGTCGTCAGAACAGAATTCATAGCACTTTGGCTTTGCTCTGGAAAGAGCCACGAGTCAGGATGTGAAGCATGGGGTTACAGACCTATGGAGCCTACAAGACCACAGGAGCTGGGCGTGACAATCCTTACCCAGAGCCATCTCTTTCCCACTGTAATCACTCCTCCACTGCAAGGTGATTATTCCTGAATTTTGACAGGGAAATGGCTGTTCAAATAAATTATAATAATAATAATGATAATAATAATGCTTTGTATTTGAAAGTTTATTTTTTAATTTTTCTTAGAATCCAAAGCATTTAAAAAACACTGGGTTATCTTCCAGATAGACCTGTGGGGTTACTATATGATTACTTAGCATTTTACAGATCACGGGGCCAGAAGCCCATAGAAGCTAAACCTCTCAGTGTTTTAGATTTCAGTAGGGATGGGAAGAGAACTGACATCTATGCTCGGCCCTGGTTTAGAAATTCCTCATATATTACCTTACCGCAACCTAAAACAACCCTAAGGCATCACCATTCACTTTTTACAGCCAGGAGAGTTTTCCATTTGAGTGGCAGAATAACTGACCGGGTCCCATGGCTAAGTGGTGAGGCTGTTTCAGACCCCAAGGCTCATACATTCTACCACGCTAGGCAGCCCCCCAAAGAAGCATTCACTCCCAACAGGCAGGGGGTTTCCTTTCCAATCTTCCTAAGAAGCGTTTTCTGACTATTCCTTTAAGGTGCCACTGACCGCATCAGCCTCCCCCAAAGCGAGTCTGGCACAGACACCACGACTTGCTCAGTGGCCTCGCCTGCTCCCCTGCTCTCAGCTTAGCTGCCGGGACACTCAGGAGGCCGAGTCTGCTGCGCTGCCACTGTCTCCGCAGGCCTCACGCACCGCACTTCTGTGGCTAGGAGACAGCAGACACTTTCTTCCCCTTCCCACCAACAAGTACCCTCCATGCACACCCAACTAGATTAAAATGACAAGGAAAACGAGACACGGGGTTACCTGGTGAGTCTGATCGTTTTTCTGAATTCACTGGTAATTGGAGCCTTAAAGCCACCTTTCCTGAGCAAGGAGTCTATTGTCTGGATCTGATCCCAGTCTGAGGAGAGGAGACACACCGAGGTCAGGCACAGTGACAGAGGGTCATGCTCTCACACAGGAGCGGCGGAAGCGGCCACGTCTGCCAGGGAGGAGCAGGGGGAGTCCTGGGACCCCTCCCTGGCGGCCCAAGGGAGGCCTTGGCCACCTGAGATGATGGCCTGACACAGGCTGTATGGCTGGCTCCAGACCCCTGCTCTGTCTCTTTCCTGTCAGTGTACCAGGAACAAACATGGTTCCAGCTTACACTGGCTGTGGACCTACTGCTGGGAGCCAGGGCTGTTCTGTGGAGAGAAAGCTCAGTTCTGCAGCTTACAGTCCTTGGTGCAGCCTTCCTTCATATGATTTCTTGGAGTCCAGTTTCCAATGTCAGAGAGTTAACAGCAGGAGGGAAGCTATTCCGTTAACAGGACGGGAAAGTTGTTCACACAGTGCTGCTGTGTTGTTCTTGCATGTTTGTAACAGACACAACCAAATATACCAAACTGAGACCCAAATAAAACTCCCTAAATTACTGCACTATGTGCCGTTTTAATTTTCCCAATCAATATTCAAATGGCAAAAGTACTGATTATTTACCTAAGTTATCGTCACATCTCAGTATTAGAAAATACTTATGATGTGCCCTCTTGTACAGAATATGGGATTTATGATTTCAAAAAGGTGGATAAAAGGCTTCCGTTTTATGTCACGTCCTCACTGTTTTTGAAAGTTTAAACACAACCACAATGAAAACCAACAAGGCAACTCGCTGGCCACATGATTAGTTCACTGACATATTAAACTGGACATTTTCTCTATTTCGGGTTCACATCTAACAAATAATGTGTGTGTGTGTTAATTTACATATTGATTAAAAAACAAACAAAAACGGAATTCCAAGAAAGGAAGAAAATGAGGTTGCACATCACAGAATATACAAACAACATTTACATATTCTCTTAAAGGGAGACCTGCCCACCCATTTCCCATCTCCAACGTCACAGTTTAACTACCAAGTTCCTTCGCCCCTAAGACCTCTACTACCAAGTTCTTTACAAAGCAGGATTAATTATGTTTTGCCTTTTTCCAAGTATAATACTGTTTAATAATTCATGACCAAGAGTTCAAAACTCCTGATAAGGGGAGCTTCCCATTACAATGAACTCCACAATATGGTCAAGCTGATGGGTGTCATTTTGCTTCTATCACCAATCTTGGAGGACAAGAAATAAAGCTATTCCCTGAAAGTAAAATAAGCAAGTAGGAGAAATCGCATCTGCATCGTTCAGAGTTCACTCCTTCTCTGGAAGAAGCTGGTAGGCACTGAAGGGAAGAAGGGCACTCATTCTTAGTGGCACTTGGACTGAAAGACCACACACTCTATTCTCCTGCCTGGTAGTCGGCAACACCATGTCCAGTGTTGTTCAATGACACTCCATTGTCCAACTCACCTTGCTCCTTAGCAACCTCAGGTAAGTATGTGGCTGTACGTTTGACACCTTTTTCATTGATGAATTCAATTCGAATCCCATGGACCCCTACCTACAAAAACAAAAACAAAAACAAAACCATAACCAAATAAATGGCACTGGTTTATACTAAGGAAATTTGAGCCACCCAAACATAAACAGGAGAAGCTCTTAATTTTCACCACCAATGCTCTGCCAGAGATAAAAGCCAAAAAAACTAGCTTGAGAGATGGGATTCCACATGTAGTCACCTCTCGGAGTATGAAGGCTATAGAAATAGTTCCTTTCAATTGCTCATCTGGTCATCTTCAATACTCCTTAATCTAGTCCATTAAAGGAGCATACCACAGGGTTTGATCTGGCTTGGGGCTCTTCACAGTTGACTCTGAATAACAACTTTGACTCAAGGGCTCACCAAGAAGGATCTGGAATATTCCACTTTAACATGATTGCTTCTTTTGTTGTTTGTTCAATATTATTGTCATAATTTGTAATTTATCTTTATTGCTGCAAGTATAATATTACAGATGTCCCACTTTTCTCCCCACCTCATTATCACTTCTCATTAGTCATGGGAGAAGGACGTGAGCCCAAGTAGACTTGGGAGGAGAAAACCTTCACAATTCTTTCTGCTTCTGATATCGTAGCACCTTTCTGTCCACCCATGCTGCCCACAATTGTTTCCAAACTCAACTTTCACATTCTTACGCCCTCTCAATGAAGGAGATACATCACCATGTACTAACCCGAACCCAAATGCAACGAGACGCAGAGTTCCAAATGCAGCTGTTCTCACCTCCCAGTCCAGATAATCACTGGCATCCTCAAAGTTAGTGAGGAGGGAGACAGAGCAGGAAAGTTTAGGCAGCTCCTCTCGGGTCAGGGGGGGGAAGCGACTGTCCTTAAGTGCACTGGAAGGGGACAAAAAAACATAAGTGAGCTGCTCTGGCGTGGGAGCATGTGCCCGAACATTTACAACTGGAGCTCCGCAGAGAACGTCCATTACCATTCATACCAATGTGCTCAGACACAACTGACGCTATGAACCGTCTACACCGGAACCATAAGTGACTCACCAGATGAAAGCCTTCACAGTTCCTCATTACCAAGAAGAGAACACTCATTCTTTATTACTTTGAAGACATAACGTCTGGCAGTTGTTTTCGATTCTGTAGATAAATTTGATCGCCATTTTTTCCACCAATCGTGTGCCTCGTGTAATTACCTGGTTAACGTGTATTCCCTGAGTCCTGAGTGAAGATTCATGGCTGAGAAGGTCCCAATGCAGCCACGAAGCCGCTTGTCCCGCCCTGTCTTCCATGTCACAAAGAGCGGACTAAAAAGCAAAACACAAAACACTCTCCAGCCCCAAGTCAAACATGGATCAGAACAGACCGTGGCTTTATTCCTGCTCATTTGTTATTCCCCATAAGGACTGCCTTCTGAGCTGCCAGCTAGCTGCAAGACCCTATTCCTTTCAGGGAGGTGAACAGTCCCGGGGACATGAGAGGACACCTCGCAGGGCGCATGCAGAAGGCGCTCTGGGCAGCCTTCCCCAGGGGCCTTGCTGCACATGCATGTGGTACAGTCCTCCTCCTGTCCGGACTTCACAGAGTTTCCTTCTAATTCTCCATGTCTTTCTCCTCGTCTTTGCCCTAGTGTGGATGTATAAGTTCTCTAGTCCATCGTCATGAAGACACACTGGGCCTGTGCATCTCCTTCTTACCTGCAAGCACTCCCTACAGCCCATACTGTTCCCAGTTATTTCTGCCAAATGGCAACTACAAATAGTTCCTGCTCATAAATGTCCAGAGAAGAAAAACAGTGTTTCCGGAAGAGAGCTTATTACTAGCAGAAATCGCCACCTGTTCTAGGCTACATCAGGTGGATGGTGACAGGTGTTCTAGAAGTCTCCGGTCTGTCTCTCTTCCTGACACTCCTCCAAGCCTCTATGCCTTTACCTCTTTGATGCTTGAGTTAAACACTTCCTAAAAGCAACTTAAAAACTTGAAGTTACCTACTTCTTTGATCGTGTTACAAAGCGGATCTCCCCACCCACACGTCTTTCCTGTGTCCTGTAACAGTTGAACAGCACCAGCCTGAGTTACTGTCTCAAAACTACTCCACAGCCTCAATAGTCCAGTGTTTCCGGGAGGAAATACAAGCCCGAATATAATGGCCCACAACACTGCAGCCACCACCCTCCCGCAAACCTGTGTCGGTCTCCGTTACAGACACACCTGCTCCAGCACACCCAGTGATCACCTGCACCTGCGCAGCAGGGCTTTCTGACAGTGGCACCCCGAGGCAGTGCTGCCATGAAAAGTTAGCACTTCTTCTCTTCATCTCTTCTCCTTTGACACCATCACAAAGGAGGGACAACTCCCACTCTACTCTGCCCACAGTGCACCACACACTATTTAACTGTGCCTGTGTTTGGCCGACTCAACAAGTCTCCCGAGAACAAGGACTTTTCCTCCTCCTCTCACTCCCTGCCAGTGGGCTGTGCAATGCCTCCCTCTGCTGAGGGAGTGACCGGAGGTCATGAGCGCTGCAAGCATCTCAAAAAGCAGCTCTTACAAGGCACCTCAGAGCTGCTTCCAATTCTGAGGAAGGAGCCAACACTGGCATGAGTTTCTTCACTTTACGCTTTATACACGCACTGCTTACATCATTGGCATGTGAGAGGGCTGGGGACAAACAACAGTCTTGAATTACAGAGTAAGAGAGAGCCCTGGCCGGTTTGGCTAAATGAATAGTGTCGGCCCGTGCACTGGGTTTGATCCTGGTCAAATGCATGTACCTCAGTTGCAGGCTCGATCTCCAGCCCTGGTGGGGGCATGTGAGGGAGGCAACCAGTTATCGTCTCTCTCTCACATCAATGTTTCTCTCTCTCTCCTTCCCTCCATCTACTCACTCTAAAAATCAATGGAAAAATATCCTCAGGTGAAGGTTAACAAAACCAATCAACCAACCAGTAAAGCAGACTCTGACACCTGGGAGGGGTATCAGCAGCCCTGAGATATCCATGCGATTGCTGATGAACAGAGGGAGAGGACCCCTATAAAAGCATCACAGCTCCCATTAAATGTGCTCCTAGTTTCCAGCCTGGCCCTCAGGTGCTCCCAGTTCACTTGAACTTCAACACTACTGGGGTCCATGATGTGACATGTAACGATGTGATAGTGTGACCTGTACATCTGAAACAACTGAAGACCCAAGAAAAAAATCCCGATTTCCAGAACATTACTTTCACAAGCTACACCTCCTCCAAATATAACCTAGTCCCTTTCCAATACTGAACCCAGTGGGTACTCCAGATGTTGCTGGACATTCCTCACCAATCTATTCCCAAGTCACATTCAAGTTTTATAAGTAGCGGAAGGATGCCATCTGCCTTTCTCATTGTCCCTGCTCTGATGGATTTACTCACTAGGGGTCATTGGTGAATCTAGGAAGTCGTGGCTGAGGGAAGCCATAGAGGTGACAGTAGAGGACATCAAAGCAGTAGCAGCACATCTCTGCGGTCACCACCAGATTCTTGGCGGTGTTGGCAGTTCCATTGGGCCGGGGAAGAGGACTCAGAGCTCCCGATGCGGGATTCATTCGTGTAATGGGAGAGTTTCCAGGTCCCAGAGTTAAGTCTGACACATTCTCCCGACCATTGCTGCCATCCACGTGCTGGTGGTTTTGGAGAGGTCCTGAACTAGAGCCGGGGACAGTGGCGGCCTGGTTCCCGTGAGGGTGTGCTCCACTTCCAGATAACTTGGGCTTCTTGACCCCACAACAGCCTGCTGCCAACTTGGGCTCGAGTGGAGGAACGCAGCGTCTTTTTCCCATCCTGACTCAGTGCTCGCGGTCTGGAATGTACAGAACCCTACCCAAAAAGAGAACAGATAAGCATTCACTCAAACGGTTAGCTAGAAAGAGAAAACAAAAACAGAAGAAAGAGTCTCCAGACAGAGGCAGGAGTCCTCAATGCTCTTTCTCCCTCTGGTCACACGGCCAGCTTGACAAGAAGAAACCCCGAGTTCCACAGCAGGAATGCCTAAAGGGAAGCCATTTTTTATTTTCCATGAAGCTATGGTCAGCGTGGATGGAGGCCGGCAGCAAAGCGTTCTCTTGCCTGGGCAGAGGGAAGGGTGGGGCAGCCATGAGGCTGGATGGTGGAGGGCATTGCAAGGTTGGCTGGAGGGCTGCACCGGACCTGCCAGACTCGGCATTAGGCTGCTTTCTCTACCGCCTCAGAGGATCCAAATGGAACCACCCTCATTTCAGAGGAGCCCAGAGGAACATCATGCTTTTCCTTGTTAACCACATCCTTTCAGCATTTCCCATCCCTAGCGGAAATATGTGTGTCTCAGTCCCCGACCTTCGGGAAGGTGAAAAGCAGTGAGCTGCCATTCCAAAAAGAGCACACCTCCCAACACAAGGCTCCCATCTTTCTGTCCTCACAGCAATCATTCGAAAATGCTACTCATGTTCTCTGGTTTCAGAACTCCACTTCTACACATCTCGCTATCCTTTTAAGACCTCATTCAAGAAAAGCTACACCTAGTAGAAACCTTTATTCCTACAATGACCAAGCTTCATAGTCCTTTTGTAAGGTAGCCTTCCTGCCCAGTCCTAGCAAAGCAGACATATGCAAACCCACTCAGCTTAACACAGGGTGGCATCAGGCAGGCTAGAAAGCCATCTGATCATGGGAATGGGAGGGAGGATCGATTTACTAAACGTTTTTTTCTTAAAAAGCCGGAGGTAGAAATGTACAATTGTGACATGACCAAAATCCTCTTTCTGTTAATGATCACAGAACTAGGAATAGATCCTAGTTATTTCAATATTGATTATGCCAAATTCTGTTGACTTGAGAATAGTATACTGATTTTTCTCAAGTGACTACATGTTTGAGCCCTTCCCCAGATATTCTCCCTAAATTTTCTCTGATTTGAACACATAGCACATCATTGCCTTTTTACGCATTGCTCTAAAACAGTGTTTTGGTTATAAATTCCACAGTTTTAAATCAAATTAGATGTTTACCTACCTACTTGCAATGCCATTATTCCTACAAAAACAGCCTGTGACTTTAAGCTGAATGAGACAAAAATTTCACAATTTTACTCATTTATGTTCTTGATATATGGTGATCCATAACAAAATACACATTTTTGTATCTAGGGCAATTTGTAGTGAGTTGAAAGAGCCGAGAAATATACTTCTGTACTCTTCAATATTTGGTTTGAAAATAGGATTAGTTCTGAGAAAGCCTTATGCACTTGATCCATTAAAACTTCTAGAAACTATAATGATTCTGAGCAGAGATTTCATTGTCTTGAGACAATTAAGAGAGGGAACAGAACATCTTGGTTGAAAAATACTGACTCCAGAACCAACTGGCCAGGGTTCAAATCCTGACACTTCAGTATTACCTCTATCTGTTTCCTCATAATGGGAGTAACCAGATTGGCCTCGTGTGTTTGTTAGGAAAACGAGTTAACACATGTGAAGTGCTTAATACAATGTCTGCCATGTAGTAAGTGTCAATTTATTCAGCTGCTCTCACCATCTGGGTTTTGAGGGCCAGGACTTCACTATGGAGTGGTTGCCCTGAACACAGTGGGATTGGGCCTAAACAGGCAGTCAGACACCACTCTCACAATCCAGGACTGCTGGCTCCAAATTGCTCGCCTCCCTGCCTGATTGCCCCTAACTCCTTCTGCCTGCCAGCCTGATTGATGCCTCACTGCTCCCCTGCCAGCCTGATTGCACCTAACTGCCCTCCCCTGCAGGCCTGGTCACCCCTAACTGCCCTCCCCTGCTGGCCTGATCCCCTCCCCAACTTCCCTTCCCTGCAGGCCAGTTGCCCCCAACTGCCCTCCCCTGCCAGCCTGATTCCCTAGACTGTCCTCACCTGCAGGCCTGGTCACCCCCAACCGCCCTCCCCTGCAGGCCTGGTCCCCCCCCAACTGTCCTCTTCTGCAGGCCCGGTCACCCCTAACTGCCCTCCCCTGCAGGCTGGATCACGCCCTCCCCCCCCCCAACTGCATTCCCCTACAGGCCTGGTCCCCCCAACTGCCCTCCCTTTCAGGCCTGGTCCCTCTCAACTGCCCTCCCTTGCAGACCTGGTCCCCCCACAACTGCCCTCCCTTGCTGGCCTGATCGCCCACAACTACCCTCCCCTGCTGGCCATCTTGTGTCCACATGGGGTGGCCAGCTTGAGTGTTGGAGTAATGGTACATTTGCATATTATCGCTTTATTATAAAGGATGTGTTAAATGAAGCAGAACGATCTAATCTCTAGAGAGTTGGAGTTTTAAGAGGACAACAGGGCCTGGAAGCTGTGCCTCCAGAGACCCAAAATTCAAAGAAACCAAAAGAAAGGATGAAGCAGCCGGGACTGGTTTGGCTCAATGGATAGAGCGTCGGCTTGGGGACTGAAAGGTCCCGGGTTCGATTCCGGTCAAGGGCATGTACCCTGGTTGCGGGCATATCCCCAGTAGGGGGTGTGCAAGAGGCAGCTGATCGATGACTCTCTCTCATCGATGTTTCTGACTCTCTATCTCTCTCCCTTCCTCTCTGTATAAAATCAATAAAACATATTAAAAAAAAAAAAAAAGAAAAAAAAAGAAAGGATGAAGCAGCAAGGTTAAAGAAACCTTTGCTCATTCTCATTACACCAAGCACACCTGAAGGAAGAGCTAGATGTTATGAGATTGTAGCAACTCTAAGTGTTATCAACTACCTAATTGGGAAACACCCTGGAACAGAGGAACAGAAGAGATCGTCACACCACACCAAGGCAGAAGAAATGAATTCTGGGAATATTCTGCCTACACACAATGTACAACCACTGATGGGCAGTGGGAACAAACACAAGAGGTTACAATTCCCCCACGCCCTCCCAAGCTACAATTTGAAACCAAGAGTACCAACCCAAATCATGTGACTCTTTAGGCTCAAGCATTTCTTGGGAGGCCACTAAGCAAGTAATTCAATCCACGTTCTCCAGTAGTGCCCAAAGGCAGCCCTGTCTGCAGAGCAATACTAAGTGAGCCACATAAAGGATGGAGTAGCCCTGCCCGGGGCTCAGTTAGCTGGAGAGTTGTCCCGATGCCACAGCCAGGGCACATGCCTATGAGGACACGGATAAGTGAACAACAAATCCACATTTCTCTCTCTCTAAAAATCAGTAAGTAAATAAAAAAGAATGCTATGTAAAACACGGTGCTGGTAGGAAATACTTTTATTTTTTACATCAACTACTATCCACCAATTTTATCAAAACTTATTCTTTAGTTAGAGCCTCTTCTAATCCTACTCCAACAAAGCTGGCATCTCACCACAACCAGGCAATCCCAGATTCGGCTCCCAGAAGCACCCTAAAATAAGCACTCATTTCTCCAACAGTGTGGCACCTGAGAGTATAGCGTAAAACATCTTAGAATAACAGCGCAAAACAAAATAAACAAACAAAAATCCCCTAAAGATATACTCAACATCTCTTCTAAAACAATATGGGAATCTGTTCTTACTTCCTCAAAACCTCATAAAAACTAGCCAAAATGGTACTTTGATCCTAGTACGAGTAATAAGTGGAAACTAGTGTAAAAATCCTTGCTTTACAGACACATTATATCACTAAGACCCTGTCAAGCTTTCAGTTGGTTACTTTCAAAACTAAATTCACCCACCCTGGCAGCTCAGTGGTTGAACACCGACCCAGACACTAACAGGTCTCAGGTTTGATTCCTGGTCAGGGCACATGCCTAGGTTGCTGGCTCAATTACCAGTAGGGGATATGCAGGATGTTTCTAGCTCTCTCCTTCCCTAATAAGTAAATAAATATATCAATAAAAATGTAATTAAAAAAAAAAAAAGCCAAACTCAAGGGCCATTGTCAGAGCCATAGTAGTGATCTCATTTTCCTCTGTTCACTGGAGATCACTGAGAATGAACGAGGTAAAATGGATTTCCACCAGATGGAGACGAAGATGTACTTCCACAGAAAGCTGGAGGAAATAAAAGGAATGACTGTTTCACCTCCTAACTTAGCAAGTGTCAAAAAAAATGTTCTCAGAGCTGAAGAGTCATTCACCTTCCTTAGGGTCCATAACAGGCCAGCTGGCAAGTCCTCCTCCTTTTCTGCAGGGAAGTGGGCAAGGTTCTTCCGTCACTTCAGTCCCAGCCAGCCCTGCAGCAACCCTCACCCTCAGTCAGGGCTGGATGCCTTTACCTCTCACTACACCTAACCTGGTGCCCTGCATAAGGAATACAGATTTCCTAGTTGACTTCATTTAAGTTTGCCATTTTATGAGAACTAGAGGTTCCGTGCACGAATTCGTGCACCAGTGGGGTCCCTCAGCCTGTGAAACTGGCTCTCCAACATCCCCCAAGGGGTCCTGGATTGCGAGAGGGCACAAACCAGGCTGAAGGACTACACCGGTGCACAATTGGGGCAGGGAGGGACACAGGAGGTGGCCGGCTGGAGAGGGACGGCAGGAGGGCTCCAGGTGTGTCCAGCCCTGTCTTGCTCAGTCCCAATCAGCAGGATCCCAGCAGCAAGCTAATCTACCAGTTGGAGTATCTGCCCCCTGATGGTCAGTGAACGTCATGGCAAGCAGCTGAGTGGCCTTAGCGTATCATGCTTTGGATTGGACACTTAGCATCTTGGGCTTTTATTATATAGGCTGTTTATGCCACAATCTAATCTTTAAATACTTGGTTCCATCCTGGTGCTAACTGGAGAGTGTGTCAGAAACTGGAGCTACAGAGAAGAGGAGGAGAAACCAAGATGGCGGCAAAGGTAACCGCCTAACTGCAGCCTCACACAACAATTT